CTAGGGCTGTCGCCCACAGGTGGGTGACTTTGGGCAAATGAATTAATTGGTCCTTTCACCGGCCCATGACATCTGCTCATAACTCACAGGCCTGGTTTTGGTAAGGGTTTCAGGCTAAGGCAACTCATGAGATTTACAAAATAATTGCAGCTAGGCATGGTGGCACATGCCTGTGATTCCAGCACTTGGGAGGTAAAGGCAGGAGGACCAGGAGACCTAGTCTTCAAAAAATAAGACAAAACAAAACTTCACCAGAGTGAGGGCTTTCTGGGAGCTGAAGAGCAAGGTAGGTGCTCAAGATGAGGTGGTTAGGTGTCACTGACAGAGCAGGTGCCGTGGAGGAATGGCACGGGCTCTGATTGAACTGCTTCACAATGTACCTGCCGGAGCACCTGTGAGGCCCTCTCCTCCTGCTCACTCACCCTGCTTCTATAGCTCTCCTATCCATGGCCAGTCTTGGGCAGGAACCCCCTTCTGTCGGCCTGTCTAACTTCATGCCAGGGCCAGTGGCAGTGCCAAGAGAGATGGATACATGGGAAGCCCAGGTCTCTCAGCTGTTCCAGAACCTTACTGTCCTGTTAGTTAAGGACAGGGGTTGGTGACAGAGATGAAGGATGTTCCAACAATGTACCAGGTGGGTGATTTGAGCTGCCAGCAGAAGGGAGAAGACCACCTGTTCTGATGGAGGGGGGATGGAAGAGACTACAGGTTAATGCCAGAAGCATCCAGGAGAGGGCCTGGAAGTCAGGTGGAAGGGGGTCACTTGGGCAGTGGGAGCAGTCTCCAAGGGCATATGTTAGGGTAGGATGACAGGAGGTGGAGAGGGCATGCCTTGAAGGCTGAGGGCTTGGGATAAGTCCCTGGCAGTTTGAAGAGAGGTCTCCAGACCCTTGTTGGGACGCAGGCAAGAATGTAGATTGGCAGACCAGAGACAAGGCGCTGCTAAAGGGGACGGGTTCAGGAACACTGAGGGTGCATGGTAGGGAGGCATGTGAGAGACTGGATATGGAGATATCATGATACTGGAACGGGGTAGAGGAGAACGGAGTGACATTTGCCAGCAGGTGTCCATGGAATGTACTGGATGGAGACTACAGGTGGGTTGCAGCTTGCCGAGGACAGTGCCAAAATGTCCTCAGGGCTGGCTCATAGCAGCCAGAACAAATGTGAGAGATCCCCACTGTCTGACCACATGGTGCCAAACTGTGGGAACCAGCAGCAAGGGCAGCTGTGTCCCCACTGGCCTGTGTGCTCCTGGGCTCTAGGGTGACAGCCCCATGGACCCCTTCCTCTCTGTAAGTGCTAGCCCTCAGCCCTCCACTCTGGCCATGTACCCACATACCAGTCAAGATCCAAGCTTCCAAGAGCAGCCAGACCTCTGTTCCTGGCCAAGGTACCCTGCAGACCTGATGCTCACTTTGGTGCGGGGGTAGGAGGGTTTGCATGGTTGAGTTGGCTTGGTGCTGAGAGGGACAGGGCTTCTCTCTCCTCACAGATTTCAGAAGTGTGGGTCTGATGCTTTCTTATTTTAATTTTTTAAAGATGTTTTTAGTTTGGTCTTTTTGAGACAGGGTCTCCCAGTAGCCCCCAGCTAGCCTGGAATTCACTGTGTAGACCAGGCTGGCCTTGAACTCACAGAGATCCACCTGCCTCTGCCTCCTGAGTGTTGGGATTAAAGGCATGCACCACCATGCCTGGCTAATTTTTTGAAGATTTTAAAATTATGTGTGTATGTGTATATCCATGTGTGGGTATGTGCAAATGCCTTTGGAAGCCTGAAGCATTGGATCCCTGGTGCTGGAGCTGCAGGCAGTTGTGAGCCTCCCGATGGATGTTAGGAATGGAACTATAATCCTCTAGAGCAGGATGCACTCTTAACCACTGAGCCAGTCCCCAGAATTTAAAATTGTAATTCTGTGTATATGATGTATGCATCTGGATATGAGTCCCAGGTTGTGAGTGTAAAGGTCAGAGGACAACTTATGGAGTCAGTTCTCGCCTTTCACTTTTACATGGGTTCTGGGGATTGAACCCAGGTCACTGAGTTGGTACTGTAAGTACCTTTATCTGTTCATCCATCCTGCTGACCTAGAGTGGCCTGGATCTGATGCTTTCTGAAGACCATGGTGGAGAGCCTGGCATGGTGCCTCACAGCTATACAGCTATAATCCCAGCTCAGGAGCTGGAGGCAAGAGGATTGCTGAGTCTGAGGCCAGCCTGGGCTACAGGCTGAGACAGATTCAAAGAAAGAAAAAAACACAGTAGGAATTGGAAGAAAAGAGGCAGACACACCCCAGCTGAGAGGCTGGGATTAACTTCGGAATGTGACAATTTATTTGGGGGTGAAAGAGGCTTCACTCCCCTTTCCTGGCATTGATACAATCTGAAGAGCAGCAGAACAGAACGCATGAGAAGAGTCATCAGCACAAGCCCACCCTTCCCGGCCCAGAATCCACCAAACCCGGAACAGCAGGACTGAACCCACATCCAAAAGAAGCTATCTTTCCCACTGGAAGTCCTCCCCAAGAGGAGCAGGGTGGACTGGAGGGTCCCAACCCCTCGTCCATGTCCTGTTGTCCTTACTACAGTCCCACCTTTAACCACTGGAGGCAAAGTTTAGCCAGCTGGGAGCTGGATGGTTGAACCACAAAGGCAACGACACTTCATTTTTAAAATGTGAGAAAAAAGAGACAGTGCCCCTCCCCAAATATAGAGCTATATACGTATATTTTATATATATATAGAATCCATTCGTGCACAATTCATTAAACGAGCTTTTTAAAAATTAAAAAAATTATAAGATACATATTTCTTTAGGCCTTTGTGTTTTAAGTTAAAACCAACAAAAAAAGATGTCTGCAACGCCCTTGGCACAGGTATGCCCAACACTTGACTCCTTCCACATGGCCCCTTTAGATCGTCAGTTCCCACCGCCTAGCTGATGCTCTGCATACAGTTGGCGCTCAACAGAGTGGAGTCCTGACTCCTTTAAGGATGGAGGGACCTGTAGGCTGGGAAGTGGGGTCCTCAGCCTCTACCTAACTAGGTGCCTACTCTTGCTGCTTGGTGACTCAGCAAGAGGGGAGCCTGGGAATCCCATTCGAGGCTTTCTGAATCCCGAAGGGAAGCAGACACAAAATTTAAAAAACAAAACAAAAAAACTTCAACTTCCTCTTACCTTTTAAAAAGTGATTCCTTGAACCATACAACCCCCAAAGAGGCCACCTTGGGCTAGTGCATGGGAACCCGAGGGTGGATCTGACCAGGACGGGCTCCACCATTCAGTGAAGTGCAAAAACAAAAACAACAAAACAGAAAAACAGAAAAGTGAGCAAATGGGTGTGTGTGTGTTCCTCTCAGGTCCCAAGAGGTCAGAAAGCCTGGTCTAAGCCCAGACTCCTTGACTGACCCAGTTTCTCCTGGGGCTTACTCTCCAGCCTATGCAATCAGCCAAGGCTGCCAGGTCAGGAATCAGCCCCAAGGTCCCCACATGTCCCCCCAAAGGCCAGGACAGCCTGGGCTCTCAATCTACCATATCACCCCAGTAAAACCACTCAGCCTCTTTTAAACTAGGGCTATGCCTGCCTCCCACTCTACCCTGTCCCACTGAGGCCAGGGAGTGATCATCACCTCTTCCCAGACCAGAGGAAGGAGGTTCATTTTGCCCCTGAAGGGGCTATGGGGGTCTGGAGGCCCCAGAGTGCTCTGTGCTGAGGCCTTGCTACCCAGTCCAGCCCTTCCATAGAGGGGTAGACTGAGGTCAGAGCGAAAAAACGAGACAGGAACAGGTCCCAACCTTCCATCTGAAACCCGAGACGCTGGTCCTTGCTGGTCTCCTGACAAGTGGGTGGAGAGGGGTGCACTTAAGGGACATGACCAGTGCCCACCCAATATCAAACAAAGGGGGTCATTTCACATACAAAAATAAAGCAAACCAGACTGCAACTTCTGCTTGGTAATTAGGCAAATGAAAAGCAGCAAGGGTGGAGGAGGGGCCTGTAGGAGGCTGAGCATATGGGGCTGTGTGTGGAGGGGGGAGGTCAGGGGCCTCAGGGTCCCCACTATGGACTGCCCAGGAAAGGGAAGACCCTTCTGCTCACTGGCAATCTCACGCCTTCCTGTGTCCCTGTGCCTAGAAGCCTTGTGCATGAGGACAGAGGCATGCACTGAGGGGCAGCAACAGTACCCCTATCAGTCCTTTCTGAATCCTCCATCCCTTCTCCCACCAGGGAAATTTAAGGGTGTCTAAGTCTTCGGGGGTGGGGGTGGGGCTGCTGCTAGAAACCACGTGACCCAACAAGCTTACAAAGAAATACACATGTACAAGAGGCCAAGCTACCCCATCACCAGCCTTCCTGGGAAAAATCACCAATAGTGAGCCGTGGTCCCTGCAGAGCCCCACTATCGCCAAAGCTTAGTCCCTTAGTCCCTTGCCTGACCCGCTGAGCTTCCAGTTAGCTCCCTTGGGACTCGCTATTTTATTTCCCTTTGAACAAAGACTGGAGTGGAAGTCTGGGTCTAGGTCAGTAGGAAGGATTTACCCTGTCTGGGGCCAAAGAAGGAGGGTAGCAGGTGGCCAGGCCACATCTGTGGCACCCTCTCTCCCAGGGGACCCCCAGCCAGCGTAGCCTCCACTTCCCCCTAACATTGCCGCCTCACCTGTGCAATTGCTGCATTACTATGTTCTCTTTAAATATCTTTCTCTCCACACTCTTAGGATCCCCACAGTATTTTTTTCTATTTTTCTTTCTTGTTTTTTTTTTCTTTTTTTTCCTTTTTAAGTCTGGGGCCAAAGAAGGAGGGTAGCAGGTGCCCAGGCCACATCTGTGGCACCCTCTCTCCCAGGGGACCCCCAGCCAGCGTAGCCTCCACTTCCCCCTAACATTGCCGCCTCACCTGTGCAATTGCTGCATTACTATGTTCTCTTTAAATATCTTTCTCTCCCCCCTCTTAGGATCCCCACAGTATTTTTTTCTATTTTTCTTCTTTTTTTTTTTTTCTTTTTTTTCCTTTTTAAATTTTTTTTTTTTTTTTTTGCAAAACTAATTCTTTCACTTTCCTGTCATAAAATCACCTCTGAAAACACAACTTCTTTACAAAAAAGTCACAAATGACACAGACTCTCAGGAAAACACATTTCTATGGTCTCTGGAAACACCTGTAACTGGCTCCCAGGTGGTGGCTCACCTGGGGAGGGGGGAGGGGGAAATCACCTCTGGGGGCAGAGGAGAAATACCAGCCCTTATTTGGGGGAAAAGCCAATTGGCACTTGGACGGTATCAGAGCCAACACAAAGGGCAAAGTGGGACCAGGACTGTGGCCCCTCAAACCCTGTGCGGACCCGTTTTATACCCTGGGGCAAAGAGGGCTGAGGCTGTTCAGTAGTCCCTGGTAGGGCGATCTGGAGAAAGAGCACCTTCCCCTAAGGACCAAAGTGCTTGCTCTCTGATCTGGTAGGTTCCTGTTTAGCTTGTCTTTCACCACACTTCTGAGGGAGGTACCAAGAACCACTCTCACCAGAAGCTAGCTTAAGCCACACACAGGAACAGGCCACTCAACGCCCAAGTGACTCCCAGGCAGTGGCCAAGGGCAGGTCAGTGGGGCCCCTAGTGCTGTGTGGAGACAGGCATCCTTCCTCTCCTGAACATGAGCCCTGCTGTGTCTCTCCCTTCTGGCCTGGGGCTTTGGTCTCTGCCACTGGCATGAATGCCTTGGTTCTGTGGCAGCAGAGGGCAACAGAAGCTGTCCAAGGCCTCCCTCTGCTTCAGACAGGCTAAGCTCTTAGGAAGCCTCAGCAGTTAGAAGCAAATGAGGAGTGGGAGAAACCGCAGACCCCTGGGAGATCCCTAGGCCTACTCTTTCCTTGACAGACAAGAGACTGGAGCTGGTTTCCCCATCTCTACCATGCCACATCTGCAGCCAAAACCTGACTATCAGGCTGACCACCCCAAGAAGGTTGCCTGTGGGCTCCATGCCCCCAGCAACCTGGGCTAGGAAGAAGAGGCCAGTGGCTTCCACAGCAAACCACACAGACTTGACTGTGTGGGGCCTGCCTAAGGCAAGGGGAGGCCAGGCCCACAGGGACCCTGTTCTGAGGAATGGTAAAGGGTGTTGCAGGAAAGCCTGAGGCCCTACACCCAGCACACACATGGATCCACATAAGAACACGCCAAGGGACACAAGCAGCCAAGGGGCAGATGCACAAATGCACAACCAGAAGTTTCCACGGCAGGTTCTTATAGCACCTTTGGTAGAGAACTGAAAGGGCTTGTAGATGCCCAGAAGCTGGGGCAAGGTGCCATGTCTGCCAGCCCCTTCACCTTCAAAGGGGATTTTGGAAAGAGACCCAGTGTGTAGGGTACAAGGGGATCTGCCTGGGCCTGGTCCAGTAGTAGATAAGCAGGGAAGGGGACCTCTGGCCCAGCTGCTGCCACCCTCGAGGTGGGGAGGGCCCATTTTGGGCTCATCCGTCATCATCACCCAATCCCAGGTGGCACCAAGAGACTGTGTCCACTCTAGGTGGGGTCTCCTAGGGGTCCCCAAAGCTGCTGCTGCGATAGCACCGAGAGATCAGACACTGCACACTGAGCAAGAAGCAAGCTAGGAGAGGCAAGGTGGGATGTAGACAGGACAGGTAAACCCCAGGTTCTGGGGCTCCCCAGAAACTACCCAGTGGGTCCCTCCTGCACAGGCAGGGGTGGTGCCAAGAACAACAGGGCGCACTTCTTCGTTCCTGTGCCCCACCAGGGCCCTAACTGAATCCAGGACTGCCCAGCCCCATCCCTGGGTCAACACTGAGCCGTCTGAAACAAGCAAAGCACAGGCAGACAGGTCTGAGGGCGGGAAAGGGGTGGGAGCACAAGTGAGACTTCTGGAAGGAGGCCCCCCAAAGCCCCCCTCCTTGCAGGGGGAGTCCCTCATTTGCTCGCCCCACTGCCACCACCTCCCGCAGCACCTGCCACCCCAGCGGCCACCTTCTCGAAATCCTCAGGATTGCAGAATTCCTTGATGGTCACGGTCAGGAGGTTGCTGGTGACATCAGTGACGACGACATTGGAGCATGGTGACATCTCAGGGCGCCAGTCCCCAGCCTCCGACTCGGAGGAGGCGCCAGTAGGCTCCAGGGCCGTGTGCAACACCTGGCCCGCATCAGCAGTGGCATCAGGAGGTGCCCGCTTGCCGGTGGCGGCCGCCTCGGGAGGAATGGAGAGGTCGAGCACCTCTGGCTCACGCCAGTTGGGGGCAGATGGGCTCAGGGTCTCGGGGAGCAGCTTGGGCGGCGCATCTTCCGGGTCTGAGGACTGCGGTGTGGGTGAGGGGCAGCCAGAGGAGCTGGAGCTGCGCACATCATAGGGGCCCGCGGTGGAGGCCGCCAGGTGCAGCCCGGGCCCCTGGGGGGCCACGTCTGCCTTGCCAGCAGGAGGGGCCGACAAAGGAGCGGGCGGGGGCTTGTACAGCGCGAAGGCTCCGAACTTCATGTGGCGGATCTGGGTGCGCAGGATGCTCTCGCTGAACTTCTTGCTCTTGCCGATAACGCGGTTCCGAGAAGGGACTTTGGGGCGGGCGAGCGCCCCGGTGCCCGGCGCAGCGCTGCCTCCACCTGGGCCCTTGTCAATCACCTTCAGGTTCAGGATGATGCGGTTCCGCTTGGGCTCCCGGGGCTTCACCTTGCGATTGATGATGCGCACCGTCTCAGAGAAGGGGGAGATGGGCGGACGCAGGCCAGGGCTGCCCCCTTGCGGGTCTGGTCGCGGCAGGGGGCGGCGGGACATACGGTGGCAGCGGCGGATGTCTTTCTTGAGCCGATGCACCGCGGCACTTGAGTGCAGTTTGGGCGAGGAAGCGCTGGCGCTCGGCTTGACAGAGAAATGCACATCACTGATGCGGAGGGCCTCTGCCTGGGCCCGGGCCTGCGGGCAGAGGGGTGTGGCTGGGACCTCAGGGCTTCCTGCGGCCCCTGGACACCCCTGTGCCAGCCAGCCCTAAGCTCCATTAGCACATGATCAGGAGAGCACCCAAGAGAACCAGTAACTTATGACCCCGTCTTAGAAAGGGAAGGGATTAGGGATGGTCAGGTGCTTGCCTAGCATGAAGGAAGTCCTAGGTTCTATCCCAAATCTACATAAACCTGGTGTGGTGATGTATACCTGTAATCCCAGCACTCAGAAGGTGAAGCCAAGAGGTTCAAGGTTATATCCTCAGCTACATAGTATGGCTTGGGTTTATTTATATCTTATGTGTATGAGTGTTTAGTCTGCATATATGTAAGTTCACCGCCTGCATAAAATGCCTGTGGTCAGAAAAGTGAACCAGATCCCCTGAAACTGGAGTTAAGGACGGCTGTTAGCCACCACGTAGGTCCTGGGAATGGAATCTGGGTCCTCTCCAAGAGCAGACAGTGCTTGCTCTTAATAGCTGAGCCATCTCTCCAGCCCCTATATAGTATGTTTAAGGCTAGCCTGGGCTACATGAAAGGATGAGAGACAGAGAGAGAATGTCCAGGGGGTTGGTGAAACATCTGAGGCAGGAGTCAGGACCAATTCTTAAGGCTTGGTTATCTTACTACCACTATGAGGGGTGGTAGTGAGGTATGCGGGAGAGGTTCCTGCAGCTCCCAGGCCACCCTTGCTCTGATTTAGCACCAATAACAGGGGACCTGCACTAGGAGGGCAGCCTTGACTGAGCCCCTACTCAGTGAAGGATGGCAGCCAAGCCTGGAACTCTTCCAAAGACTAATTCTTGGTAACATGGAGGAGTGGCTCTTCCCTGCTCCCAACCTCCCAGCCCCACCTACCTTATTTGCACTCTCCCCAATGTCCCATATTCTCTTGCCTCTGACATGACCCATTTCCAGCTCCATCCACCCTGCCTCCTCAGGTGACCATCACCTCTAGAAAGGTCCTGGTCCCCCTGGACCTCTCCTTTCCACCCCAGCCCCTGCACTTGCCCTTCGCTTGTCTGTCCCATCTTAGCTCAGAGTAAATTCATGCCAGTGACCTCCAAAGCCTCCACCCAGGGCTAGAATTCAACTAGGATTTGGGTGGGAACAGGCCTACAGGTGGGACCTACCAATCCACCTTCTCTATGTGTCAATGGTCTGCAGCAGGTGAGAGCACTGAAAGCTCTGAAGCAGCTCAACAGCTACCTCATGGAAGCCCCAGCCTCAGCCCCAGCCCCAGCAGAGCCCTGATAGCCCAGGTTCCAGCCCACCCTACCCCTTGCCTGATGACTCAGAATGGAGAATAGACAGGGGCTCCCAAGGCCATAGAAGCTGTCCCCCATGGCCAACCCATGGAAGTCAAGGAGTCAATGCTGCTACCCAGGCCTACTCTGAACCACAGCCCCTCCAAGAGGTGCTGTTTTATTTCTTGGAGGATACAGGCATCAGGACACAGTTCAGGGAGAACAGCAGCCTAGAGGGGCAGACTGCAGCCCAGGCCCAGTAGTTCCAGAGGCTAGAGTGTGACAAGGGCTGGGGACAGAAAGTGCTGAAGGCCATGCCCTGGTGCTGTAAGAGGATACACAGTGGTTGGGGGCTCACAGCTATGGCTGGGGCCAGGGTAGGAGAGGACACCTGGTTAAGCTGTGACTGCCTCAATATAGCTGTGAGATGGTATGGATAGAGGGACAGTCTGTCTGGATCCCTAGGTAGGGATCTGTGTTTGGGGGGCTCTCTACCTCCAGCCCCAACAGACTAAATGTTTATACAGTACAAAAAGACAGCCTATATACCCCCTGATAAGACTACACTGCCACCCCCGTCAGGGGTCTCCTGCTCCCTGTGCATTGTCTTCTTTGTGGTCCTCACAAGCACACCTTACACCTTGGTTCTTTGCACCCAGGCTGGGCCCTCCAAAGGCTGCTTGTCAACACTCTCAATGGCCACTAGGTGGCAGCACACAGGCAGGTCCTGCTAGCACCTAGGGTAAGCTCTCTCCAACCTGGACTGGGCCCCTCACCTTTCTCAGTCTAAGACAGGGAAAAGTCCCCGCTTTCTTTGGCTTGGCAAGCAAGGCCATCCCCAGGGAGGCTTAGGCGATCCCCACTCTCCTCAGAAACTCTGCCATTCACTCTCTGCATCTTGCCTCAGCTCCCTGGCTTCTTCACTAGGTCTTACAGGGATCCAGTGGTGAAAGATGGTCCCTGGAGTAGAGATTATTCAAATGATAGACCTTCCCTCTCCTTACCTGTGCCATCCTAATGACCTATCACAATGTTCTCCGGTGATCAAACTTACAGAGCACCTGTTGACAGGGCTGGAGGTAGCCAGCACTCATAGCTAGCTACATTCACCTATGGTGCCAGGCTTCTGAGCAACCAGCAATGTCCTAAAAATGTGATTTCAAAACTTCCTATAAGAACACCCTCTACTTTATAACGTCTATGTATTATCCTATAAGAGATGTACTTCTATCCAGGTTGAGAATTCTTCAGTGACTTGGGTTTGCCTGGTGATTTAAAAATTCACCACAGGCAACACATTTCCTGCATTTGGCAGGGTGACAAGTGGCTCCAGGGTCTGATGTGTACTAGAGGCAACATCTAGATTCTACTGCTGGCTCTCTGTGATGGTGGGCAAATTATTGGCTTTTCTGTTCTCTTTACCTGGGTGTTAAGTGGGGATAGAGCTGCAACTTCAAAGGATCCCATACTGCTTAGAGTAGATCCCAGCAGAAAGTGCCAAGCGTAGTTTGCTACATTGCCACTTAGTGAGTCAGAGCAACAGGTCCAGCCCAAGCCATCTCTAGAGCCTCTCACAAATATCCCTCATTGCCCTGCAGTTTCCTGAGCTCTGGATTAAGGTGCAGCTCCATTCCCTGCCCTACCACCTCTACAGCCTTATTTCCTGTGTGTGTCCATCTTCACCCTGACATGCAACCCTCCCCCAGATGGAGAAAAAAAGGATGGAGCTAATCTGTGAAATGGGGATAGTGCCCCCCAATTCCATGGGGTTGTTGAGAAAATTAAAGGAAATAACTCATGCGGAGGACTCAGGTGCCCACAGGCAGCTCAGAAACTAGAACTTAAGAAAAACGGATTCTGGGAATCATGCTCAAGCTTATTACTCCTTTCGCCGCTAGAGGGCGCTCCAGCTGCGCGGGGAGGCCACCAGTCTTCCAGCTGCTCCGCCCACCCCTTCCTACCCGCCAGCATCAGGGTTAAGGTTTGCCCCGTGAATCCCCTAAGATGACCCGCGGGCGGGGGGCTGGGGTTACAAAAATACGGTATTCTGGAAGCCAATATTTTTCCCCACTTCTGCTGTAAATCCACAGCAAACCCTTAATCCCAGTCCTTCAGCTGGGGGGGGGGGCGGGGTGGAGGGACAGGTTCGCCCTGCCACCATTAAGCTTAGAGCTTTTTTTGGACAAACGGGAGATTCTGATATTCTGCATCGTACAATCTCTTCTCCAGAGTCCTCCCTGGCCTTCTGGCGCCAAATTTGATAGGAAGACGCCAAACCCAGACATCCTTAGCCCTTTAAGGAGAATAAGGTGTCTCCATAAGGCCCACCTGCAGCCTTGCCTCTCATGAACAACTCAGGTCATTTGTTTTCCCCTTCCCAGATTGTTCTTCCTCACCCAATAAAATAAATACCCACCAACTCTCCAAGATGGCCTCCTCTGAAGTTCTTCCCTCCCTTGCCAATACAAACAGGCTATGTTTCATCATGCCCCACCCCATCTTCATTTCCAATCTCCAGAAATATCAGGATTGGAGGTAAACAGAGTCTCGGGACCCAAAAGTTGGTTGTCCTGAGTGAGTGATTAAACTCGATTTGAAGTGATTTAAGGTCATATTCAAATTGGGCTCCCAAGTGAGGAGGGGAAATTAGTCTCAGAAGGGTGGCAGCTGGGGGGGGGGGTGGCAAAGAGGCAGGTGACTTGCCCATAAGGTCACTAGACCCAAGGCTCTAAGTCCCCAGTACAGACAGCCCAGTGTGCTCAAGACCAGGAGGTGAGGACAATCACGGGCAAAGAGCCTCTGGCCATCCCTTCCCATGGATGTCCCCCAACCTTGCCTCATTCACCCGCTTCCTGGTGCTCGGTAGACCTCCCCGCATCCCCCCAGTGCCTAGTTTCATCCTTGCCCATTACCCCACTCAAAGGCCCCCCTAGCTGGGGCTGGCTGCGGCCAGCTGCCAGGGGCTTGTCAGAGGCTCACAACCACCCCCTGCCCAGCTGGGGCCCCTCTGGAAAAGCCCGCCCGCCTGGGCAGCCGCTGATCTGTCCCTCCCTTGCAGGCTCGGTGCTGCGCCCTGGCTGGGGGCCCCCAGAGGGGGCTGCTGGGGCTGGGCCAGGTTACCTTCAGGAGAAAAGTTTTGGGTTTGGGTCCCCTCTTCTTGGGCCCATACAGCTCACGTTCTCTCTCCCTGCAGTCAAGAAACGCCAAAGATTAAAAAAAGAGTCCTTTCCCGGGCCCCATTCCCCGGCCCTCTCCGCCTCTCCCGCTTCCCTGTGCGGCACCCCTCCGCGTCTCGGCCAGCTTCCCCAACTCACTTCTGTTCGAAGGCCGCGATGAGCCGCGAGTCCAGGATGTTCTCCTCGGGCTCCCAAGTGCTGTACCTGCCGAGTCACGCATGCAGAAAATAAATGAAACCCGAGGGGCACAGGCACACCGCGAGGGCGCAAACACGCACCCCCCACCCCAAGGCCCCGGTGCCCGCCGCCTCCCCAGTGCCCACACCCCGACCCCGCGACACTCACTTGATCGCCCACCCCTTCCATTTCACCAGGTACTCGATGCGCCCCTGGAAAACAGAGGAAAAAATAGGGAGTGGGGGTGGGGAGGATGCGGGGACGCGAGGAGGGGGCGCGGGTGGCCGAGGGCGCCCAGCTAGTGGGACCTCTGCGTCCCGGGGGTCCGCGACCTCCGACCCGGCTTCAGGGAGCCCAGGCCGGCCCGGGGCGAGGGCTCACCTTGCGGATCCGCCGTTTGATGATGGATTCGGCTGCGAAGACCCGCTCGCCCACTGCAGACAGCTCCATCTTGCTCAGCGGCACCCACAACCCATAATACTCCCTGCTCCCGCGGCCGGTGCTGCACCGCTCGCGCACGCGCCACAGCACTCAGGCCCCGGGCGGGCTGGCGCGCGGCGGGGCGCGCGCTCGCGTTCCAGCTGCGGGCCGTCACGTGACCCTCCCGGCCTGCGCACCCGTTGCCAGGACCTCCCCCTCCCCCCGGGCTGTTGCTAGGGAAAGTGAGCACTCGCGGGGCGGGGGCGCGCTCTGGCTCTTAAAGGCGCCTCTCCTCTCCTCCTGCAGCCCTGGCGGGAGACCATGGATGCTTGGTTTCTGCCAAACAGGGTGAGGAGCAATGCAGTCTTACATTGTCCCCCTTCATTCTACAGGCTCCGGATCGCTGCCACCTTTTCCCCTCCTTGTGACCACCCCATGCAAGCCTTTCCAGGCCGCACACACACAGAGAGGTGCGATGACTACCCCCCCACCCCGAGTCAGCCGTCGTGCATAGACGTTTGCAAACAGTTAAATATGATACAGCAGAAATGCATTCGCTGTAGCTTTGCCAGACCTTGCAGGGATTTCTTTAAAGCATCACCCCCACTCTTATCCATTATTTATGTATTCGTGGGAGTGTGGTTTTGTAACCAGTTCAGATGAGTTAAAACAAAAAACACCACCGCAGGAAAAGTGGCGGAGGTGATCCACGTCTGCGACCGTGGCCTTGAGCAGCACCTGCATGAAGACCTGGGCTAGAGCCCTGTGTCAATACAGAGATGAGCTAGAGGCTGCAGGCGAGGACGGCCCCACACCCCGAATTGAGTCTAAAATGGGTCATCCTTGGGTCACTAAGCAGAACCCGCCCTCGTGGTCAGATCTATGTTTTCTGATTCCCAGGCCTCAGGCCACGTAGTGCCCTGCAGCCCGCAGCTCAGTGATAGTTCTGCCATTGCTCTTGGGGAGACCAGACCCTGCTTCCCATCTGGGGAGGGGCAGCACAATTTGAAACGGTCCCCCAAAGACACAACACATAGGCACGCTACATGAAATCTTCCATTTTTTGTGTTTTGAAATTATTTAAACCTTATTTTCCATTAGGCCAATGATCTTGTTCTTTGCAAAGCAAAAACATTTTTAAAAAACAGATGAGGAAGCAAAAAACAACTGTAATCTTCATAAAACTATTGTCACCAACTTCAGGTTCCTCTGCCCCAATTCACTGCCTAAACTCATGCCTGCATGAATATGCATACACACACACACACACACACACACACACACTCAGTGCAGGTGTACATATCCTATATATTTACATTTTTTAAGGAAGCAGGGCCTTATTATTTACACTGCTCTGGAATTGCTTTCTCCCTTGGTGATACTGATTGGACAGTAATATGTGTGGCTGGGAAGGGGTGGGGGATGGGGATTTTTAAGGGTCAGGATTGTCTCTTCCACGACTTGTTTATTAGAAAAGGTTTGTACAGGTCTCTGCTGCAGCACCGTTTCTTGAAGCTTCAAATCTACCACATCGAAATCTCAGCTATTCACCCCTGAATCCTTACATCTGTATGCAGAGATTACATTGACTGAAACCACCCCTGCTTTAAAAAAAAAACAAAAAAAAACTTTATGTTCCTTGCTCTTAGCTGCACACAAACCCGAGCTGAATTTCACCTAAGAGAGCTGCTCTCCAGAGGTGGTGGTGTTGATAAGCAAGTGGGTTGAGCATGTGGATGTCTGCGCAAGTGTGCAAGCTGAGGAGGCCACAGGATGAAGCAGATGACCACTAATCCATGTGTCCATTCATTCAGCAGCCTTCATGAGCCCTTGTGCAACCTTTAGGAAACAAAGGTGCCCTGGGCCAGTTGGATAAGAAAAGCAGCTATCACATAATGTCACTAGTTCCTGAAAAAAAGGGTGGATTAGTCTCACGTTGCTACCCTAACAAACAGCTCCAAATTTAGTGATTTAACATGACACACACAAATTATATCACCATTCTGTAGGTCAAAATCCCCACATCAGAGTCCCTGGGCTGAGTCAAGGCTGAGGAAACTTGGGAGAACCAGTTTTGGCCTCATCTGGCTTTTAGAAGCTGGTGCCACTCACTTCTCAGTGTATGGCCTTGCCAGTCAAGTCCCTGATCCTATCATCACTTCACCACCACTAACTGATCTCTTACTTCTTCAAAAGGACCCTGTGGTTATATTGGACCCACTGGTATAATTTCCCCATGTCAACAGCCTTAATCTAATCATAACTGCACTGTCCTTTTTTCTATAGCATATGATGTGTGGAATATAAGGTGCCATATTCACGGGTCTGGGAATGCGGTATATGAGGGGGGCATTCTACAGCCTACCATCAAAGGTCTGTGTAGAGTGTCCTGAGAGTGTAGAGATGGCCTGGAGGAGGAGAAGTTGGAAGGACTCCTTAGAGGAGAGGACATTGAATATTTATTAGTGTGTATGAATGTGTGTGTATGTGTGTATATGTATGGGCATGTTCATGCCACAATGTGTGTGTGGAGGTCAAAGCAGTTGGCTCTCTCCTTCCATCTTGTTGAAGCAGTATCTCTCTCGCTGTCACCGTTGCTACTCCAGGCTAACTGGCCTGTGAGCGTCCTGCCTCTGCCGTCCATCTTGCCATAGGAGTGCTGAGATTACAAATATGTGCCACTGCATCTGGCTCTTTTCATTTTTTTGTGGTTTTTTTTTTTTGTTGTTGTTGTTGTTTTGCGCACTGGCTCTGGGGACCAAACTCAGGTCATCAGACTTGCATGGAGGACACTGCGGCAAGCACGTTTACCTGCTGAACCACCTCACCAGCCCTGACATTTGATTTGGGACTGGAATTTGCCTGCCAGTCACGGACGGGAAGGCATCCCAGGTAGAGGGTTCAGCTGGCAGGAGCACTTCAGAGCATGAGTCAGTCTGTGTTTGGGGGACCAAACAGCAGTCTTATCTGGCTTGGATTTGGAGACATAGCAAAGGATGGCATGTGGCGATGCACTGGGCCTTGCTTACTCAGGGAGGACCTCAACTGCTATGTGACCTTGGACTTTGTCTCACCCAGTGAGATGGTTGAGGGAGGGGGCTGTCTTCAGCCAAGGAGTGCTGACATGATGTGGCAAGCTACTGTGGATGCCCAGGTTGAGTCTCTTCTCTTTCAGCAAGGGTTCCATTCAATGAAAGTCTACTTCCTGTCTCTGGGCTTTGGTTTCTTAACTTTTTTTCTTTTCTCTTTTCTTTTGTGAGATGTATGTTCATGCATGTAGTATGTGCAGGTGCACAAGTATGTGGAGGCCAGAGGTTGCTATCAGGTGTCTTTCTTTTTGGTCTTTTTGAGACAGGGTCTCCCTGTAGCCCCAGCTGTCCTGGAACTCACTATGTGGACCAGACTGGCCTTAAACTCACAGAGATCTGCCTGCCTCCACTTCCAGAGTGCTGGGATTAAAAGTGTGTGCCACCACGCCCAGCTGCAGGTGTCTTTCTTATTCACTCTCTACCTTCTTTTTTGAGATGGCATCTCTTGCTGAGCCTGGAGCTCACATATTAGCTAGACTGATTGACGTGAAAACCCCAGGGATCCTGGTGTCTCACCCAGGACTGAGATTATGGACAGGTACTGCTGCTGTGCCTGGCTTTTTATGTGGGTGCTGGGAATCCAAACTCAGGCCATCATGCTTCTGCAGCAAGCACTTTCCTGACCAAGCCATCTCCTTAGCCCCTCACATTAATTTTTAATTCACAATGCTTTTTAGCCAATGACTGTTCTGAGAATAGTTATGTCTCAGTTCATTCAAAAATTGTGAGATTTGTGGGCTCCCCCCACCCAGAAGCCTGTCCTGTGGTTGTGGACTCCTGGAAATGGTCATATCCATTCTATGGGAGAAGTCCCCCTGCCTCTCACAGGCTGTTGTTCTGATAGTTGGTTCATTGCCATAATGAAAACGCTGATCATCAGGCCTATGTAAGCTGCTTACCTGAAAGAAGAATTCCACTTACCTGAAGCATGAAACACCTCAGTGCATCTCTGTAACTTGCCAGAATTTATTCTCTCGCCTCATCCTGTGTTTTAGTTTGTTTCTTCATTGCTGTGACAAAACACTCTGACCAATACCAACTTGGAGAGGAAAGGGTTTATTCAGCTTACATTTCCCAGGTCACAGTTCATCAGGGAGCCCAAGGTAGGAACTCAGGGCAAGAACCTGGAGGCAGGAGCTGGAGCACAGGCCATGGAGGAATGCTGCTTACTGGTTTGCTCCCTGGCCCCTGCTCAGCCTGCTTTCTTATGCAACACAGGCCCACCTGCCCAGGGGTGGCACCACCCACAATGGGCTGGGCCCTCCCATGTCACTCAGCAATCAAGAAGGTGTCCCATGGACATGGCCACAGGCCAGTCCAATGAAGGCAATTCCCCAGTTGAGGCTCCTTCAACCCAGGTGTGTCAAGTTGACACTAAAGCTATCCAGTACATCCTGTATGAGGGCTGGGCTCAGCTGGATGGTTCTCTTCCCTGGTCTTGCCCAGGGTCATCATTGTGTACAATGCGAAAGACCTAGGGCTAACTCATTTAACTGTGTGGTGTGCTTAGTTGATTGCTGGCTGGCGCTCTGTCTCCTTGTGAGCACCTGTTATTTCCACAAGTAGCTCAGGGTCCTCACATAACTACGGGAACCCTGACTGGCAAACTATAGAAATCATACAACATTGCTGTCAGTGCATCCAGTGGGTCAAAGTATCCCAGACACAAGATTGGTAAGCAGAATTCAAGGTCCCAGGGATCAAACTCAGGTCATCAGGCTTGGCAGCAAGCACTTTTACCCATTGATCCATCTCACTGGCCCCCAGATCTCTTTTTTTTTTCTGATTCTGACCTTGCTCAGGCCTCAAGTACAGGTCTGAGGGCATCTGCCATTCAAGGCTGTCATGCTAAATGCCCTTCTCAGCCTCCCCTGCCCTGAGTGCCCTTCCCACCCCCTGCATAGAAATCTCCTCACACCCATTTCTTCATTTGTCTAGCAGGCATTTATTAAAGGACTCACATGTGCAGAAGGCCAAGGGCACAGAGGCACCAGCAGCTGGAGGTCACAGAGGGTCTCTAGAATGCTGCAAGTGTCATTGTGAAAGGCCACCT